TATTAAATTATTTAAATAATTAATTATTTATACAACTTTTATTTATTAACTTTCACATATTACTAAAAAAGTAGATGTATATACAATAATATCACCGGTCTAAATAAAGCAAAACATGTGAAGTTACATAAAAAAATTATACAATAAAAATTATTCTTTAATCATTTCCTATTTTTTCTTAACCTTCTACTGACCCTCTATTGCCATGCAAACACAATTACTTAGTAGCTGGAAATCTAGATAAGATCTGTTGAGATTGCAGGTATCCCCACCTCCAACATCAACAAGAAACAGATAATTGGTAGCTTGTGTGAAGAGTGAATGTATATACATGGAAAGAAGCTATTGATGGAGATTAAATGTGAAGTCTTCACTGTCATTTCCCCACCCCCACCACTCTATGCACAGCAGATTGTTACAGCTGTCGATAACGTTCAATAATTGGATTCTAAGAATCCAAAATGGCTGCTATCGGCTACAATTCTTCTTGACCATCATTTTGCCTACTTTTCAATATGTTGGAAGTCCCACTAGCAATTCAGTAACAGTATATAGCTTAAGAAGTCTTTTGAATAAGCAGCACATATACGTGCACTTATCCGAATTTAAGCATTATACCGAAAGTCAACATGATTTTCGTTCTTCCAAATAACTTCATCTTTAACAAAACGATGATACACGGATCATATAAATTTCATCGAAAGAAAAAGCGATTTACCACTGCACAGGACAGCTCAAACTCAGATCCGAGGCCTTGTCCTGCCTAACATTTTTATCCAGCATACATTGCTCAAGAAAGAGATGGAAGAAGAAAATGCCTGCATAAAGAATAATGACAATATTGGTGGCTCTCAACCAAAATCTGCAACAGTCTATTTCGTAATTGATGTATCTTTTCAGGGTGAGACGCCGGTGGAGAAAAATGGACTCACTCTGATCTAGCTAACAGCATCTGCAACGAATACCAAAGGCTTTGATAATTAGAACCCATAAGAACAAATTCGAACACCATCAAGGGTATAACATTTCCAGAAATGATTAATAATTATATAAAAAAAGCAGATGCTGAAGAATCACTACTGAAAACCTCTGCCTCCTATTTATATAGTGCACCAGTTCAAGTTCCAGCTGTCTCCTAAAACGTATAAGTGTTAGTCAGCAATAAAATGCGCATTTATACCTCTGCATAAATCTTTCATCGTAGATTCCATCATAAAAAAAAATATATTATAGCAACCATGTCTTGGCTTTTACAGCAACAACTCAAAAGACAAACAAGAGACATGTCTGACAAGTAGTTGTCCCCTCATCGGTCAGTTTTCTCATGGAGATCAAAAATTTTGCTGCATGTACAGAACATTTTTCGAGCTGTTGGAGCCCTGAGGCCTAAATACAACATTCTCTGCTGTCTTCTCTTGTATAGATTATAAGAAATTAACGTCTTAATATTACATTCTACTATGTAATGATAAGCTAGCCTATAAATCAAGAACTTGACAACTGACAAGTTCAGCAGACCCAAAATCCCTCTTAGCAACAACCCTCCAGATAACTGATTCTGATTCAGCTACTGAATTAGGAAGTTCATGCGAGGACTCATCTGCAAAAGGAATTGAACTTGATGGTGAAGAATCCAAATTATGATGAGGATCAGCCCGTAGAACAGCAACTTCATGGTTGGCATCTTTTGTGATGAGATGAAGCTTCCCATGAAATCCAGCAAGTAAATATGGAGATTCTGAATCAGCAAAATCATGAATAGGGACTTTTCCTATGACAACCTGCCAAGCATCTTCTTTTTTATCATAAACCTTTATCTTACCACTATCAGTAGGACTAGATAGATCAAAAGCATACAATTCACCATCAACTACCACACTCAGTTTTGTAGCTGCTTGTCGTGCAGGCCAACCGTCTCCCATACCACTTGGCATTTCGTCCCAGGAATTAGTTTCAGGATCATAAATTTCACCCCCAGCATCAAAGAAAAAGGGCCATGAATATAAACTCTGAGGAACAAATAACCTTCCCATGTATGGAGTCATCCCGGTAGCAATAGGCTTAAACATGTCGGCCAAGAAGATATTAGGGAATGTTTGAGCCCTTGAAAATGGCATATTTGGAACTTCAGACCATAAACCTGTGCAGGGGTCAAAAACTTCAGCAGAGTGAAGAGGAGTCAATCCCCCTTGGCCCATAGTAACTCCTCCAACGACATAAAGCTTATTATTTAATATACCAGTTTTACAATAGGCTCTCCCCACAGACATGGAAGTCACTTCACTCCAGGAATTTAGAATTGGATTAAATCGCCATACACATCTCATAGTGGAAGCTCTACAAAATCCCCCTAATACATAAAGACATCCATCAAGAGCACCAATGGCACAACCAAAAAATGGCATGTGACCCAATCCATCTTTCTGTTGAAGCCAACTCCTAATAAATTCAGAAATTTTGAAGCTTGATCCCACAATGTTCAACATCCAAAACCCAGAGAAACCCATACAAGTAGATTCTTCATAAACAGAATTTGGCATTGGTGGCAATGTCTGCCATCTTCTTGACAGAGGGTCCAAAGCATGCCATAGAAGTTTCTCCTCTCCAACTTTAGTCAACATGTATAACCACTCCTCAGTCAATCCAAGTTCTTTTCTCAATTTAAACAACTCAGAACTCATAATAGTTGCCTTCCACTTTTTTGAGACCAGCCTCAAATTGAAGTAGTAAACTCTAGGAATTCTGGCAAGGATCTGAATTGATAACTCATCAGGAAGACTAGGAATCAACCCTGGGCTCTCCTCATTGAAGCCTGAGGTCATCTTCTGTTTCTTGCAGGTTTCAACCCATGAGACCTCATTGTAATTGCTTGCCTGCCTAGACTTTGGACCAGCCAAGCTCAAAATTCCTCCCATGGGAATTCTAAAAATAAGGAATTCTCAGTTATCTCACCTTCTTCACGGAAAACACAGTCCAAGTGCTGCAAAATAATGTACTGTCACTTATGCAAAATTTACATAAGGAAACATAGAAAATGAAAATTTGATCAACATATGTTAATTGTATTAAACTTCAAAAAACTCCTATAATCATCAAGACAAGGTTAAAAACCTATCTTTTATAGCTCATGCAGCATCGACCAAAGTTAATGAAACTCTCCCTAGCATTATTATGTTTTGTATCAAAAGATGAGAGAACCTTTAGATGCAAACTCTATCATCCAACAAAAACAAAAGAAAATTTGAAGATATCAAGCTCAACCACAGAGAATTAAGCAAAATTCCTACAGAATATCCACCCCTTTTCCCTATTTCCCCTTCCCATCAACACAAAACAGTAACATTCTGCAACTCACTTTCAATCAGAATTCATCGCGAGAACAAAAGTAGGAAAGTTAACTACACTTTCAATTCAAATATTTTCACCCTTTACCAATCCCAAACCCATGAAAATAGGGACAAAATGAAACACTAAAATTCAAATTCATGAAACACAATCAAACCAGATTGAAGAACTGAAACAAGATCCATGAAACTCACCAGAATTGAAGCTTGTAATTGAAGGGATTTCTTACACATTACTCAGATCATCGATTGACGGGAAGACTTTAACTGACAGCCAAGTAAGAGTTCCGGTCCGAATTTTCATCTTCCCACAAATGAAACTTCTCAGAATTTGTGTCCGAATCCGACAATTCCACACAGTACGGAAAAGTAGTTGCCAGTTATCGTCATTCGTCAATTCCTCGGCGGGAGACAGAAGTTTCTCTGACTCGGGCCACTCGGCCCACTAAAACTAAATGGGCTTGTAGTTTTGATTACGCGCTTTCTCATCGCCCGTTGTGCATTAGGCTTGTGCCTTATGGTTTAGCTACTGGTCCTGCCTTGTTACCCGAGGATTTTGTTTTAAATTTAAGTTAAAACTCTATTTTGGTCCTTTAACTTTAATAAAAAGTCTCTTTTTAGTTTTTTTTACTTGAAAAAGCTTTTTTTTAGTCCTTAAAATTTAAAATCCTACCCATGCTTTAGTATTTCTGTTATTTTTTGTACACGTGACACATTAAATGATAAAAATTCAAAGGAGAGAGACCATAAAGGTCCTTTAAAAAGCCCTTTTAGTCCCTCTACTTAAAAAGCTCTTTTCAATCTTCTACTTCAAAAAGAGTCTTTTCTTTTTAATGTTTTATTTTGGGATTCTTGTTAGAATAGCATGCCACATGAGAAAAAAATTATGAAGAAACTAAAAAAAGACCGGATTGTAAACTTTAAAACTAAAAAAGGGCTTTTTAAAGTAAAAAACTAAAAAGGGATTTTAACCTTAAATTTATATTTCATAATTTATTTATCTTTTATTTGTAGGAGTAAATAATTTTTGATAAATTCTTTTTTAGTTTTTTAAGAAAACGAGGGGTTCTATGTTTTTATTAGTAAAAATGATAGGTTTCACTATTTGTATAAATTCTATTAATTTGTTAATTTAAAATTTAAACAGATAATACAATTAGATTAATTATGAATTTAAATTAAAAATTTAATAGGTAAGATTTTTTGTTATGAGTGATGATATGGAGGACAAAAATTTGGGACAAAAATTTAGGACTAATAACATGGCACAAACCACATCATTAAATTAGTTGATACATATAATATCATGAATCTAAAAAAAAAACAAAAAAGGGGGTCAATTATTAAATAATTATTAAATAGATTCTTTTAACTTGTGGCCTAATAATATTTTTTTGTATTAAATGTACATAGGTTAATGTAAAAGTTGATATTAATTTTAGTGTCAAATGAATTTAATTAGACAATTGATAAATTAAAAATTGACTTTTATTTTTTTAATACAAATTTATGACAAAAAATGTGTATTTAATACGTTCTTAACGGTATAGTTTAGGCAAACCCTTATTAAAAATGTAAAGTCCACCTTTTAATATTTTAAATAACATAATTTATGATATATCATTGGTATCAAATTTTGGTCTCATTTATCATTATTCTTTTGTTATATGTTTCTTCTATTTAATTTTAATAGACCTAGTATCTTATTTGGTGAAATGTTCAAATTTAGTTATCCACTTTTTCTTTTTATGATATCATTTTAATATGTTTATTCTTATTTTACCCTCCTTTTAAAAGATAATTACAACATATATTAAATAAGAAATTTTATTTAGATAGTATTTAATTAGAGATAAATATCAAATTTTATTAATAAATTATTACATCTCTATTTTATTGAATAGAAAAAACTAGGAGTATTAAAAATGGATAAAAGATAGTAATATTCAAATTAGATTTAAGTAATAATTTTTAATTTTTTTTATCTTGTAGATAAAGTAATAATTTTAATTTGAATTTATCTAGTTTTCAATTTTTGACTAACAATGAAAAGTAAATACATAATTACCATTCTAATTTAAAGAATAAAATATTGAAATCTAGATAAGATCACAATTTGAAATTAATTCTATAGTAAGAAGAAAAGATTAAAATTAGCTGATAAATAAAAGAGTTACATAGACATTAGTAAAATTTTAGTTATTTTTTAATTTTGGGCATTAATGCATTTTGGATTTTAATGGCATCAAAATTTAATACTCCTAAGTAGTACAGTATTGATCAACAATGATACCCCTGAAAAATTATCATTGGTTAAGAGAGGGACAGAGCTAAAAATTCAAGTGGTGGAGGTAAGAAGTTAATTTTTCTTTTTAAAGTTATTTATTAGTTTTACATTAGTATAATTTATATTAGTTTCTATATCGTCATTAATTTTGTTTATATACCACTTAAATTATGCATACAAAACTTTAAATTAATTAGATATATTTAGCCTTATCAATTAAACTAGACATATTTAATTATTTTTGAATGATATGTACTTTAAAACTCATAAATAAATAGTATAAAAATATAGTTTATTTTTTAAATAGTTACCTATGTTACTATAAATTTAAAATGTATGATTTATATGAATAGAATAAATTCACCATTATTTTCATAGAATATAAATTGTGCAAAAAAATTATATATAACTAATGTAAAAACTTATATAAATTACATTAATGTAATTAATTAAATCTTGACTATTTTTTTAATATTTTTTCTTACTTAGACCAAATTATCATATCTTAAAAATTAATCACAAAGAGAGATGATTCATTTACCTAAGTTCTAAATATTTTCTTTATATTTAAAATGGTTCTGATTAATAATTCAAAAACTCAAAAAAACAATATATTAAAAAAATAAAAATTAATGTACCATATTTGAAATTTTTCAAAAGCTTAGGGGGCGGCAGCTCCCGCCCCCTGCATTGGCTCCGTGCCTGGGTTAAGAACTTAATTCTTTATATTACAAGTCTCGAATTTAAATTACAAAATTAATGTAGGGTAATATAGCCTATCATTTAAGGTAAAAAAAAATAATAATAATTTAACCAACGATTTTTTTATCTTTTTGAACTGAAGTAAAATTTATATATATCTACATAACAGCTGCAATGGGACCAACCCAGAGTGTGAATGGAGCTGAATTCGAGTGTACCAAGACGCATGTGCTGCTGCGATCCGCGAAATCATGATTGGCGAATGAATTCTGATACTCTGATGATAACATAAATCCATCGGAATAGGTGAACCACTTGCGTGGATGGAGTCCCTCCCTCCCATTGAACACCTTTGGGACCGATGAAGATGCACCATTAATTATTGGATATCCTTGGTGCAAAAACTCATCATCTTCATGATCTTCAATATTGCTTTCTTGATCACCATGCAGTTCCTCTAGGAAATCAAACTCCTTAAATTCTTCTTCCCAATCTTCTTCAGAAAACCCTAGCTCTTCGTTGACAGTGTGGTAGCACTTAACGGTGTCATCTAAAGCCACAAGATTTATAATTAGGCG